AATCATTGCAGTGACTACAAACTGCTTTATCAGTACAGAAATGCCACAGTTTCATGAAAGACATTTGTATCCCCAAAGGAATGAACTGATTCTGTCTCTCAAAGAGAAAGAACTAGACGAGTTTCACAAATAAACTTGTCTAGGTTCCTGGTACCTAGTTAAGTTTCAATAAAGGGAACACAAGCCAGGAGGAAAGATTTTTTTTTCTCAAGTATGCAGCCTAAGAATAGAGATATACAGGAAGATAAAAACCATCAAAAAGAAGGTTTTTCAGAATTTGTAAAGGGAAAGACAACCTTTCCAGGTAAAGTGTAGGCAGACTATAAGGTATTTCCTGCTCCTAATCCCACACCATTTCTTTACCTGTCTCTTGAATGGTTATTTGAAAAAGTATTTTCCATTTTGAATGTTATGAAAAATGGCTGAGTAGAGAGTTATTTCACTGTAGCTGGACCTGAGCAATACATTTGTCACTGCAGGTGTGGTGGATCTCTCAGCTACAGTGCCTCTCAGTTACAGCACTGCAGCACCCCTGGATGCTCCCCAGCAGTCACTGCAGCCTCATGGCCACGGGCGTGGGACCTGGAGCTCCAGTGCAACCTGCATGGAGACCTCCGTGGTCAGCAGAGGAGAAAGCTCTTCTTTAAAACTACTTACAGTGGTTGTAGATGGGTTGCAAGGATTTCTGCTACTGTACACCACACCTAGACTTTGAGTAGCCTGGGGTGATTTCTTCTGCTTTAGGTACTGTAGAATTTTTTGATCATAATGCTAGTTCTGGAGGTCATTTCGTCCAACTACTCTGTTGTTGTTCAGGGTTCTGTCCAGTTTTTTAATTAACTCAAAGGATGGAGACTCCAGGGCCTCTCTGGGCAGCTTGAGCCAGTGTTCAACTACTCTGACAGTAAAAATAAATAATGTGTTTAAAAAGAATTTACTGCATTTTGATCTGTGTTCATTGCCTCTTTTTCTGTCACTGGAAATCTCAGAGAAGTGTCTGGCTATGCTGCCTTTACCCCCTCCCATCAGATTATTATTCTCCTCTTATTTCTCCATGCTTCAGTTGGTGAAGATTTCCTGTACTTATAAAAATGGTCAGGACACACTTGGGTCACTTTGGTCTGAAATATGGCCTTAATTTCCTGGAGCTGTGATTTGGATAGGTGTTCATTGAGAGACCCCTCTTTGCCCACCTGGGACCTTCTGCTGTGTAGCTATTTTTTTAATAGGTGTAATATCACCTTAAAGGTTTGACACTCTGCTATGACAGCCACAAATCTGCCCTTTGAAAAATCTTTTTTATTTGGAAGGTGGATGATGTCTACCTAAGACACATGAATTGGAATAAGGGCACTTGAGTTCTGCTCTCTGTCACAAATTTTTTGTATGACCTGAGATGTCTCATTAACAACTGACCAAAAGCCTGTTGGGAGTCTTTTCATTTACCTTAATGGGCTTTGAATTAGGTGCTTAACTTTCTCAGACTCACTGACCAATTTATATAAAGGAGATGGTGTTATTTGCCTGTCTCGTTGGACTGTCACAAAGTGAAATACACTACGACAAAGGATTTTGGGATCACTGAGTAGAGTGCTATTCAAGTGCACAGTATTATATAAACCTTTAGAAGCAGCAATAAAAGTGCTAGTGTTTCCCTGAAAAACTATGATTTCTTTTCACCTTTATGCTTCTAGGAAAGCTTGTCATTTCATGTTCTTCCAAGGAATTCAGCATCCTCTGAAGCATGCAGGGGCCAGTTTAGCATCATATCTCAATGGCCTGTGGACAGGGTGAAGGAAGGGGACTGCTTTCACTGTGCTGTATTTAAAATCTTGTGAATTTAAACTTGTAGTCACTTGTAGCAGAGGAGCCTCATCATGTGCTATGGGAGCATGATGTGATGTTGCAAAGTGAACAGAGAGAAATTTCATACTTATTCTGTGTTATTTTGCAGGTGTGATCAAACTAACAGGAGCCTCTGAATATTTGTGGAATTTAGCAGATGCAAAAGTTTCAGCTCATCAGAGAAAAAAGATTGAATAGTTCTATTTGTACCTGCTAGATATGATATAGAAAAACATAAACATTAACATGTCATTGTAAATTAAGTTGTAAATGCAATGGATTTCACTCTCATGCTTTTTTTTTTTTTTTTCCTTTGTGTGTTTGCAATAAGATAACTTGGTTTAAAAAAATCATAAGCATCTTTTGTGCATTTGCTGTTGATTCTGTCTGGGGCGAAATGTGATTATAAAAGGAACTCAAATATTTTCATGCACATTCTCTCTGTCCAAGTGTACCTCCTCCAGGCAGAAGTCTGATGTGAATTTTAAATACTGACAAAATGTTATTCAATATTCAGATATTTACTCTTATTTCTGGAACAGACAATTTTTAAATAAAGCTCTACACCATGTCAAGATCCACCACTGCCTCATTGTTTCCATTTGGTTTGATTTCCTGAAACAGTGATTCCAGGCTTCAGATGGGAAAAGAAGGGCCAAGAAGATTGTGTCATCTTTTTGTAGTAAAGCACTCATCAGTACCTGTGTCCAGTCCAGACCAGGATTTAAATTTACACCAGAGTCCAGAACATCAGATCTTTCTTGTTCTGCTTTGGTTCTGTAAGACCTTAATAATTTAAACAAAAGTGGCAAAACTAAGGACCTCATTAAGCATTTCTTCTATACAAAGGAGGAAAAAAAGATTGATTCACTATAGCTTAAAGTGAAATAACTCTCTCTAAATCTTTGTGATTCTTAACATCTTTCTTAAGTTTATTTCTATGTTCCCCTGCTGGCCTGTGTGCTTCAGTATTAAATGTTAGATTATAAATTATGTCGCAGCCAAAAATGTATTATGGGTTTGAATCCTACTTGAAGGACTCAATATGTTGGCAGTAATAAAGAAAGCTACTTGAAGAATGTAAGAACTTGCTAATCAGATTGTTAATTGAGTACATGAGCTTCACATAATAGAGAGGCAAACTGAGAAGGTGACGATGATAGCCAGACTTCATCTGTTGAGTTAGAATTAACGATGAACAAAATCAAGATCCCTTTGTGGTTGATTCTTGTACAGCTGCAGCCAAATATAAAAGACCCATCAAAGAAATCAACTCATTAGTAATTCTGTACAACTTCAAAGAGAAATTCTTAACCCCTCATCAGCCTTTCTCTGACAACCCCTTAAAATCTGTGTTAAAAAAGCCAAAAAACCCCATTATTTGCTTCATCAACTCAAAGAAATGGCCTGCAGGAACATAGCATAAACTGAAGCTTTTAAAAACAGATCTATCTATAGGTAGAACAGTCAAAGCACAAATATATTGTGACATGCAAAATCTCCCCCAGTCACCCATGTCACACAGTGTCAATAGCCTGTCTGCTTCACAGAAAAACTAACCCTAGATTTAAGTAATTTTAACATTGTAACAAAAACTGACAAAAACCAGTGAAATCAGTAAAAAAGCTGCCACTGTGTCCTTATTGTACTGTCATTTGTCTATAACTCTCCCCACTGGGGGAAGTTGCCAAACCAAGGGTGAATGAAAGATTGTGTCTTGCTGGAAAATGATGTGTTTTTACAGCAATCACCTTCATAAGATTTGAACAGTCCGTTCCATTGTCTCATTGCCACAGCAACATTTATTTTATCTCAGTGGGTCTGTTCTGATAAAGAATTGCAGGCCTGGACATTTAGTCTGTATTTTTGAAATTTGATTTTATAAGATGATATGCAGCCTGGAAAAGGTATTTTATTACACTGGCAGAAGTGCCTATTAAAGCTCTTTAAACTTTTGTCTTGTAGGCTTTTAAACAATCTAAAAGATTGAGTATGTGAATGAGAGATTAGCTCCTATTTTTGGATAGTCTCATGTGAATGATGTGTGGTTATACAGATATATTAACAGAAGTTTGTTAATGAAAGGTCTATTATATCTGTTTTAAGACTCTGTAATTTAAGTTTTGCGTATTTTAAGTTTTTGCTGCAGTAGGGCACATAGCATCTAGGGAAAAATAGCAGTTGTACAAAATTTAATGTAGGGAAATATCCCAAAGATGTTATTTTGGTCATCAGTAAACTATGTACTGAATAGGATACAGAAATTTTAAAATACTTTTTTCACTTATCTCCTTTCCCACTTTGCAATTTGCCTTCCAAAAAGGTATTTTGCAGTAGGTACTAGCACAGCTTTGTGAATGAGCTTAAAAACTCAGAAAGTCTCTTGGCTAAAATCAGCAGCAGCTGGAAAGATCTTTGTAAGAGAATGATATTGATGCTTATTCTGCAAGTACTCATGGCTAATATCAATGTGCCTGCTGAGCACATGCATGGACAAGTGGACTTCTTGTTGGCATGCCCGAAATTTTTGAAACAAACTGTCTCTGGTTTATCTTTGAGGACTGGCCTTGAGACTGAAGTCTGAAGAACTCGATTTTTTGTGAAGTCTCTCTGAGCTGCCTGACTGTTTCCCAGCAGTCTCTTGGAGAGCTCTTGGGGAGCTGAATGTGATGTTTTCGTCTGGAGGCCTTGCTCTGCCATCCGACTAGCCCTGGCTCCTTGGCAAACACAAAGGAGAAGTGGCAATGCTGAGAGAGAAGTGGAGAGTAATTCAAATGGAAGGAAAATAGGTGGGTGGGTGGGTGCATGATGGTGCGAGAGGAACATTTTGTACCGCAATGTGTTCCTTCCTGCTGGATTCACAGTCCGTGAACGAGTCTCCTATAATTAACGCATTGCTATTATCAATAAATGCTATGAAGCAGGACTGGGGAGAATTGGCAAAGTTGCCGCTGCTCACAGAAAGGCCTCCCCAATCAAAACCAGCTCCCACCACGCTCAGGGGCCAGTGGGGAGCTCAGAAAAAGGATGCCAGGAGTTGGTATTCCGGGTGTGAGCCGTTCCATCCTGCAGCCCTGTCGTTTCAGCTGGCTCCCGTTCAACCCACGTTGGCATGTGCTGTCTCTTAGCAACTGCCAGACGGATGGTCCCGGCTGGCCGCTGGCAACGCGCCGCTCGGCCACCCAGCCTAGGTGCTGGTGGAGCCCTGCCTGCCTTCCACAACTCCTGGAAATTACCTGCTGGAAACGGCCTCTGTTTGCCAGGGAAAAAGGAGCTTGGACTGGCGAGTCTGACCTGTTCATGGCAGCAACAGATCCTGGCTATGGCTGGAAGGGCGAAGCTCTGAAGATGACACAAATCTTTCAGAACTCAGCTGGCTGCTCCTGCTACCTGTAAGCCTCACCTGAGCCTTACAGCAGTGTAGGGCATGAGCTAACACACATCAGTGCATTGTTTGCACATGCTGAACAAGAACATCTATAAATGTTAGAGACACTACAAAAATATTCACAAAAAGTATTTTGCTTTTAATTTTTAATTGTTTGGGGTGTTTGGTTTGAGTTTTCAGGATTTTTTTTTTCAATCCTACACTGGCAGAATTTTATTCTTTTTCAATTACTTTCTGAGCTACAATGCTCTATGAAGTGATTTTTTGTGGGTTTTTTTGTCTCTTAGTTTCTACCCAAACCCTTAATTTTAAAAATGTTAGGTTCAGCTTCACAGTTCCCCATGCAAGCTGCTGGGCTAAATCTCAAACCAGTGTCCTCAAATGGTAAGGCTGGGTCCTTGCCTTTTTCTGGGCTTGATTTTCACTGTGCTCTCTGTATCAGCCATCAAAAATGAATGCAGTCATGCTTACATAAATGAATTCCTCTAGTTCAATTTTCCAACCTTGACTAGTTTTTTGTAATTGTAAAGATGGAACAATTTAGATATATTCTATTTTGCCATGCAATATCTTAGAGATTGAGTGCTTTCATACATAGCATATTAAACATCACTTTAGCAGTGAGAACAATGATAAAAACAACTTTTTTTTTTTTTCTTTTGTGTTCTAGAAAGTGCAAGTCGTTGAGGAAATAAATGTCTTTGCACCATACTGTGACTCAATTCTAAAAGAAAAAAATCTAGAAAGTCCATAGTCCCTATGGAGTACCTCTGAGCATCTGTTTTGGTCTACAATGTCTGAATTATTTCAAGCTCCTGAATGAGGAAAAATTATGATTGAGATCATTGCAGTGATCTAGAATTGACTCTGTGGGCTGTAGTTTCCCCTAAGTCATGCTCATTACCATACCATCTTCCTGAAAACACAAATAAGAATATTTTCTGGCATCAGTCAACGAAACCTCGTTTCTGTTCCCACTGGACCTCTTTACATTTTGATGTGGAAGCTGAAAAGGCTCCCAAAAGCTCTTAGGCTCTTTTTTTGCCTGTTGGTGGAAGCTAAATCACTTAACTCACTGTTAACAATCTTGAAAATAGATTAGTGATTTTCTTATCTGAATTCCTTGTGGAAGGTAGGGAGTATTTAACAGCACTTGCTGTGGCAAGCCAAGGTGAGATAGGTGCAGGCTGGACTCAGGGGACAGGACTGAAGAATCCTATTTATATCAGGGAAGGGGAAAAAAGAAGCCAGTAATTTATAAAGCCCTCAATGAGTCACCAAGGTTTTCCTTTATGGGCAGGATAAAGTGAACAGCTGTTCTACTGCATTCCATTTGCTTGAGTCAACAGGCCCATTCTAATAGTTTGTTGATTCTCTTACATTTTGTCAATATTGTGGTATGATTTCATTGTTTGTTTTATCGCTACTCAGATTGACAATGTTTTATTTTGTGAGCTATGATGAGAGATAGCTCATAGGCTACAATGGTAAGAATGATTTATCTTGAATTCCTTTTTTAGCAGATTGTTTTGCTGTAGCTACCACCCTGCACCAGCTATTTAATGATTTTTTTTTTTAGCTATTTAATGATGTTCTTCTCTTGTAACCCCCAAACAAAACAGTGTTTTTCTTGGCAGTCAGTGATTTGAGCCATTGTTCCTGTGGCACGTGGCTGGCTTTTCTTTTATGGGGCAAACCAAATTGTCTCCTCTTGAGAGAGCTCCCTCCCACACCCTTGGTATTACATCTACAATATCCTTGTGCGTGATGTTGTGGCTCTCTGGGCTGCAAGTGTTGCTCTACTTTATGCCCCTATCTTGAAGATGTCAGAGAAGAAAGGAGTGGTAACATCCAAGCATGGAGGATCACCATCACACCCAGATTCTGTACGGGAGGCTCAAGTGGTGCTCATCCTTCACATCTCCAATGGGCAAAGCACTAATTTTATTAGTCTTAAGCAATTATGATCTCTTTTACAACACAAGTCAAGAACAAGTCCATGTACCTGCTGTGGGGATGTGAAGTGCTCAGTGAGCTCTAGAAGACCAGCTATGAAGTCCCTGGCAGAAGTCTAACAGGATGCATTGCATGAGCATGCAAGGGGGCAAGTGGTGCACAAGTAACTTCCCCACAGGTGAGTTTGGGTTCTATTGCTGCCAATGGGAACATGCAAACCATGGTATGGAGATCAGATTTACTGGCCCCCCAAACAAATAACTAGTAATGTTCTGGATCTGAATTGTACTGTATTATATATTCAATTTACTTCATTCTAACTCCTCCCTGTAGACATACTCTATTGGAAACATGAAAAACAGAAACAAACAGAAATGCCATGTCCCTAATAAATAAACGATTATGCTGGGAGCTGCAAGAATATTTTTCTGTTTTCTTTCAGCTAGTATTTTGCAAGTGTTAGCAATTTTCAAAACAGTTCAGAATTCCCATACCCATCTGTGGTGATTTCCCTCAGACACCCATAAACCCACTTTCTGAAATTTCTTATGTATTTTTAACTCTGCTAGTGGAAAGATTCAATTCATCTGATGTGCATAAAGCATCCTATGTTGTCAAATCATTTTTAAACTTCAACAGAGAATGCAGTAGTATTAATAGTCATGTACCTTGCTCTGCTATTTCAAACTGCCCACTTTATTTATCTAAGATGTTCCAGTATCTTCTATCACTCTAGTCGTTAGCAAATTTATGTTGCTCTCTTACCTTTTGCGTGCTTTCCAGGGCAGAATATGTAATAACAGTCTGTAATTAAATCTTCCTCAACTTACTTTATCACTGTACATCTTCTCTATACATTTTCTTCCTTCCACCGTCCATCAGATGATGGAAATGACAGAAAGGAAAGATACTGCTCGAGCTACACAAATACCTGTATGCAAATTAATCTGAAATTAATCTGGAAACCTCCCCACATTAAATTTATATTTAATGAAGCTCTCAAATTTTAGGATGTTAAACTGCATTTAGCTGAGATTTGAATAGAGCTATTGATGTAAATAGCTGTAAATGTTTTGCAGTGATAGTAAGTTTGATTAGGAAATGAAAAGTTTTTAGTTTAAAGTAGCTTAACAAAAAATTTGTGTGTTATGGTGAATCATTAATATAGCACTTACAGTGGCATCAAAATTTTCATCTTTGCTGTCATGAAAAATGTTCAAAACAGGATCAATTTCTTCCACTTCTGTTTTACTTTTTTCCTTTAAGCTGAAGGCAAAGCAGGTTTTCCCTTCCATCCTTGGTTTTGCATGAATCCTTAGTAGGATTCTGAAGTGTTAGTAAATTAATGTAACTTTCTAAAGGAACGAAATACTTGACTGATAAAAGTAACACATATCTAAAATTTTAATCATCAATGTTTGATTAAAGTTCAGCTGTATCTTCTGGCTAGTGAGCAAAATGAATGTCATGACTCACATATTATCTGGAAGATTACAGGAAATATGGCAAGGAAAAGTGGGAATTTCCCCCTAATTTCTACTACTTGCACTATAAGAGAATAATATAAGTGGGTAAGGCTTTTTTACCTCAGATTTTTTGGGAGATTTTTCATGATGGAAAGTGGAAGCAGTTGAATGAAAATTTCTTTACTAGCTAATATGGTAATAAAGAAATTTCATTTGGACTTCCTTGCAGTATGCTACAAGCACATGTCTGATTCTCCATGGGCCGTCTAAGGCTTAGAAAACCTCTTTTGGAATGTCATAAAAAGACGTAACTAAAATGTGGTTCAAATAAAAAGACTATTTATTTCTTTATCAAGTACAAAGAAATACAAACAGCAAAAATTGCCAATTAAAAAAAAAATCTGCAATAGTGATTTTTGGGTTTTGCATGAAAGAAAATGAAATAAAAAGCCAACAATGCATTATAAATAAATGTTATGTCTCATTTTACTTTCAGTTTTCACAACCATTCTCTATTTATCTCTTCCTCTATGGAGGCTCTCTGGCTTTCTAATTTTATATATGAATTTATAAGCTACTCTGAAAACATCTTCCTCTTCCTAGACTTTGGGGAACCATGTATCAAATCAGAAGGAGCTTAAAAAAGAATAAATTATTTATTGTTCTGATCTGGTGGAGTCTGGTGGGCTGAACTCAACAGTGTTTCATGTTTCACAAATCCTTCTAAATCCCCAAACTCTTCAATGAGGTAAGAAAGCCCTCTGGCCTGTCCTGGCTTTTGGATAACTATGAGAGATGAAGTAGAAGAAGTGGTTATCAGCTGGAGTCTGGGGCCACTGCTCTGCTGGGATACATGGCTGACTGAGTGGAGACTGCAGCCATCATCACAAATGTGCTTTAGGCAAGTGGTTTCACAAAATCATAGCAAAGTTTGGGTTGAAAGAAACATTAAAGATCATCCTAGTTCCAACTCTTCTGCCATGGGCAAGGACACCTTCCACTAGACCAGGTTACTCAAATCCCCATCCAGCCTGGACTTGGATGCTCCCAGTAAAGGAGCATCCACAGATTCTCTGGGCAACCTGTTCCAGTGCCTCTCCACCCTCACAGTAAAGAATTTCATCCTAGTGTCTAATCTAGACCTGCCCTCTTTCTGTTTAAGACCATTAGCGCTTGTCCTATCCCTTCATGCCCTTGTCAGAAGTCCCTCTCCAGCTTTCTTTTAGCCCCCTTTCAGTACTGGAAGGTGCCCTAAGGTCCCCCCAGACCCTTTTCTTTTCCAGGCTGAACAACCCCAACTTTCTCAACCTGCCTTAATAGGAGAGATATTCCAACCCTGTGATCATTTCTGGCCTCCTCTGGACCCACTTGAACATATCCATGTCTTTCCTGTTCTGGGGACCCCAGAGCTGGACACAAGTACTCCAGGTGAGGTGTCACAAGAGCAGGGTAGAGGGGAAGAATCACCTCCCTTGACCTGCTGGCCATGCTGCTTTTGATGCATCCCAGGGTAAAGTTGGCAAAACCTCTTGTCACACCTTGCAACTTTCTCCACAATTTTTTTCCAGTTTCCCCCTTACTTTTTTTCATCCACACAGGGCTGGTGTGGAAGACCAAACACAGCTGGACATAGTTTGCACCTAGAAGTTGCTGTCTAGCTCTACTTTTGTGTTTGTTTATGGGAGGCTGTGGGCAATTTTCATGAATGTTTTGTGTTTCTCATCTTAGTCTGGATGTTTTGGTCACTTCCAGTTGTTCTAAAGCCACCACACCAAATTATAACAGATTCATCTTTGACCTCTGAAAACATGTCACGCTCCATTGGATTCAAGAGAATCTTAATGATTTGTGATTATGGCTGTTGTTAGAGAAGAAATAATTGCATGTTTCCTTTTCTTGGTGCTACCAAAATGAACTCCATCAAATATAATTTGTGATAAAATTTAAGTCTGCCAGTTTCAATCTGTTAATTCATACCAACCATTTTTTTTTTCTAGTAAGCTGAAAAGGTGAGGAGGGATATATTTGGAAAATTTCCAGGAATTAAATTAGAGTTCACTCTATTGTGTATTCATGATGTATTAGCAACTTTAAAGCAAACATGAAGGAAACTGGTACCTGAAAGCGTTAACCTGCAAGTACAGAGAGCTGGAGTCCCTTATTACACAGTGAGTTAAGTGCATTGATATGTGAGATTTTACCTTATAGTGTCATGTGGTTATTTCACCAGAGAGCACTACTTTTCCTTGCCTTGTTTGTAGAGCTGAACCTAGGTAGGTATGTCTGTACTCTTAA